CATATATTTATATATATATATATATATATATACATATATATATATATATGTATATATATATTTATATATTAATTTGTGAACAAGTCCCAAATTACTCTTAGGCTGGCGACGTAAAACGTTATTGACTTATTTAGAAGTATGTCTACTCTTGTACTCTCTCACACCCCCTCAATTTTACAACCAAGGGCTGAGGGCTGAAGGCTGAAGGCTGAAGACGTAGATTGTGAAACTGTTGATTCTGACACTCTGTAGATGGGTTAGGCAAAAAACGTGGAACCGATGAAAGTCTGTCGAAAACATTGATGAATGGAGCTGTTGGAGTATTGTCTCGATGAAATTTTTTGAAAACGTTGACTCGTTGGAACTGACTCGATGAAATTTGCCGAAAATGGTGACTTTTCTGAAGAGTAGACGATCCTCTGTACAGTGACATGCATCACGACGGGCGTGGATAATCGTCTGTACAGGAACACGCATCACAATTTCACAGGTAAATAACTCATGAGATTTTCTTAAAAAGGAATTTGCTTTCTGAAGCGGTGTGGACTGTGGCGTGGATGCTGGGGGACATACCTTCTGCGTTGTGGCATATTGGTGTCATATTTACTGTCGTTTAGTCGTTGTCGTAAATTCGCTAACTGCTGAAGCTATAAAGGCTGGTGACGATATGTCCGAAAAAATCATGATGCAAAACTGATCGTATGAGTTTTTATCCTGGCCAACCCAAGTGGTTGAAAACTAGTACAAACACCATCAGTATATAACTGAGGGTGAGATCCTAAACAAATTCATTCGAACGCATCATTCTCTAGATACATTTGCACTTTATTTAAAGTTTACTACATTGCCTCTAACAGCAGCAACAGTGGCGGCATGGATCGCAGCAGTAACAGCAACAATCACGGCAGAAACATCAACGAATACCACAACAGCAACAACAACAAAAGAGACACAGCAGGAACAACAAAGACCACGACAACCACAACACCAACAGTCACAGCAGCAGCAACAGGCTAATGGAGGTGAAGTCCAACCCCCATCACAAGGTCAGCATCAAACACAACCGACCATGGGTACGCAAATTGCAGTAAGTGTTTGGCACAGCTACTGGCGAGTTGAATAAAAGCCTAGAAATCACCATGACATACATGCAAGTACGCTAGTGTGAATATACAAAATATTCCCCCAAATTTGATGAGAATTTTTTTTGAGTATGTCGCTTAGTCGAATGCCTGCCACCACAAACGAGTGAGTATGGACCTCAGCAGAGCATCCTACGATCTCACAGCAATCTATCGAACATGCATCACCCTTCGCAACAGCAACTTAAACAGCAAAAACAGCAGCAGCGACAGCAACAACAACAACACCAACAACAACAAGACGACGGCAGTAGCAACAGATTCTGCATTTATTTATTTATTTCAACTATAGAGCCATAGCAGGGATGTATACAAAAGCGACAGCTTACAATCCAGCAGAAGCAACAACAGCAACACACACAACAGATCTCGCATAACAACAGCATCCCACACAGCAACCGCAGCAGCAACACACACAACCACAACCACAACCACGGCAACAGCCGCAGAATCACGCACAGCATTAACAGTCACAGTACATGCCGAAACCACGTATGTAGCAATCCCACGTGACCAGATACCAATCAGTTACCCTCGCAGCGGATCGAGTAATAGTTCTATGGGCCTTGAAGGAACCCCATGGAGAGCTGCACAAGCGTTAACAGCCTAGTCGCCCGGAGGTGTGTGTTTTCACGTTGTTGTGAAATACTTTTGCCAATACGTTTGGCAACAACTGTCTCACCGGTGTAAATGCGTTCACCACGCCAAATGCGTTGCCAATTTAAATAGTTGACCGGACACCTCCGACAAGCGTGGCCAGGTTACCGGATCAGTGCGACCTAAAACAGTATCATTTATGAGACCTTTGCACAAGCAAATCCCCACTACAAACCATATGAAGATATTTAGTACACATGTACAGATTGTCAGCGCACTCAGTTTAGATCGTGTGTGCCCACGAGACAGTACGAAAAACAATTCAACTGATCCCAAAGACCCTTAGATATTACATATCTTTGAAGGACCTGAGGATTCCAATGTCATGTGTGCCGTATAAGTTCTCGAGTTGCAAAGCAACAGCCTATATTTGTCTCCAGAATACGTTGTGGGTTCAGTGGGAGTATCTAGTGTTCTGCTAGGATACCAACAGAATACACTGAATACATATCACCTTTGATTTTCTATTGCTCATAGCTGAGACAGTTCTGTTTTCCGACGCAGGGGTATTCATACTCCATTCGCGCTCACATGACCACCAAATGCAACATCCGCGATCCGAATACAGTAGTTGTCCGATGGAGGGTTTTAGAATTGCATATAGATTACAAGTGCCTCGAATTTGAGTCACTAAGTATAAAATCAAGGGAGAGGGGGGGGGGAGGGAGGATGTCCATTTCAACGAGAGAAACATTTTTTCGACCTATCGCTGGCACCTGATAGATGTATTGAATAGGATGGTGAAGCACAACAGCCGTTGTCCCCACGTATGTTTTGATCCAGAGAAATCTATCTACCCCTGCGAGTGCTTCTGTAACTGAGACACTTGCCAGTCGAATTTGTAACCTAAAACGGTATTAAAATCAGCCGTAAAACAGTTATTTTTGTAAGTGACAACAGCACTTTAAACACTGGCACACCTCGGGTGCTCTAGAAGGAGATCTCGAACCTAAATCTGGCAGAACACCTATCGCAGATCTGTAGTCCATAACGCGATCAAGTATCTCTACTCTGATGGTAGGAAGGCTACCTGTCGGGTTGATGAACGGAACCCTACTTATAGGTGGTGCGTGATCATATTCTTTGTGTGGATTCATGTCTAATGATTACTTAGATTCTGTGTTTTGAAAAACTTGTTGAACAGCACGGCTGCAACTGATGGATCTAGCACAGGTGAGGGCTAAATGGGTTGGATGTGCTCATATGAAGTAGGTGTGTGTGACGGTCGTCTAGATTTTCGGGTGTGTCGTATGATGTTTATTTCCGTTACAATTGGGACAACAATCTTTGAAGTTTTTGTAGTACAGAGATACACAAAGAAATGCTTCAACCGCAGACTTAGTATGCCGTCTATGTCTGCTGCACCACAAACTAAATATGTCTTTGCACATACAGCTGTACCGCTACGGCCGGAGTATTTGTTTTACTCGGTTCCACCAGACTGGTTTTGTCATGACCTGTTAGAATGAAGATACACCCACCAATGAACTATGGATTTATTGCAATCATCGACGACAGCTTGAAACAACATCACTCTTAGAAGCTGTAGATGTGCATGTATGAAGTGATGGCTTCATACGCGTGTGTACCATAGAGCAGGTTAACGAACCCAACTGATGTGCGAAAGCTTCTGTTGATATTGAAGTGCGCATATACATGTCGGCAACATTTACTCTCTAAGAATACACCGGTCTAGATATTGAATAAATGGTACTACAGACACATGACACTCAGAGAGAGAGATTGGGCAACCCTGTATGCAAGTCGTCCTAAACAGAAAGAGGGCCTCCGATAAAGCATGGACTAGAAGCAAGCTGCCAAACCACGGCAGAAGAAGATATTCCCACACAATACATCCTATACGATATATGAGATGCACTCAGATAATATGCTGCATAGACTGACAGGGAGGGCAGCACGCCTACTGGGGGCTTTGTTTGTGCGGTCTCCACGACAACTGTAGCAAGCAAGCAACTATGCATTCATACACTCAACAGACAACACGCACACACGCACACGCACATGTCTGTTTTGACACTACGTCAGTGCCGACACCGCGAATACAAGTAGCAAACCAATCACTCGAATAGATCTTAGGAAGGCACCTCTCAGACGCTAATACCGGCGCAATGTATACGACAAGCAGTCCACCCGCAACGCCAATATATGTCTATAATAAAACCAAGATATATCTATAAACGCAGACCCCTGCTGTTTTGGGCCGACACAGTTACAGTACACCTGACAAAGCCTTCAAACGGCTGCACAGACAACCCACACATTCGACTACACCTGTCTGACGCTGTGTTTGGCACTGGAGGCGGCAGATAAGAAATTATCCGTATAACTCGGTGACTGTGGGTTGGCCCACATGCCTCTCATCTGCTTCTGGGCTAACATCTCGTGGCGGATACACTCAGTCACAAAACGGCTGGTGCTTGCATCCGAGCTGAGAGGAGGGCAGTAAGAGGTAATTGATTGGCATCAGGGTTGCGTTTGATCCATATCACACATCTGTGTTTTGGTTGTCACTGACTCTATATATAGCACACATAGATGTTCTGGTCATCATTGACTCTTGAAATAGCACACATCTAAATTCTGGTTATCATTGGCTCTATGAATAGCACACAACTATATTCTGGCTATTATTATCTAAATATGGCACACGGACTGTGATCTGGTTTTGGGCCAGTGCATCGTAGCTGATACACTCAATCACGAAACGGCTGGGTCGTACATTCACACTGGGAAGTGGGGAGTAGAAGGTAGCTGTTTGCATTCTAGATTGTTAAATCTGACTCACATACACATGCTCACACATATACACGTACACATACACATACACATACACATTTACATTTACATATACATACACGTACACATATACATAAAAATACACATACACATACACAACCCACACACATACACATACACATACACATACTTATACACACACATACACATACACATACACATACACATACACATACACATACACATACACATACACATACACATACACATACACATAAACATACACATACACATATACATACACATATACATACACATACACCCGTCTCTGCATATCGTGAATGTACATACTTTGGTGTGCTGTATTGAAAGCGATCGCATATCAGTTACTTAGCAACCCAGAATGTATACACCCAACGTGTTCGAACACACAGAGGCACATTTAGGTATAACATGACACATATGCGTGCACAAACATACGTACTGATCCCCTTAGGTCTGCACTGACACAGGCAACATAAATGCACATACCTTGCATTCAATGTAATAGGCACAGAATTATTAGCAGATCCACACCCGTAGCGGAGTGACTCAATATACGATGTTTACACACAGATACTCGCGCACACAGACACCATAAACAAACAGTACGACACATACGCGCACATACAAGCATACGCATAAACCCATCTCCGCACAGACGCAGGCACACATGGATATACACACACCTTGCCTGTGATGCGACCGGGACCGTGTTGATAGCCGTCCCCAGCCCATTGCGCAACAGCTCCCAGGACACATTCTTCCTCGGCCGCAGGAGACTGAGCATGGACTTCGGTGTGTAGGTAACCGAGGCAATGGCACATGTGGGGGGTGCTTGTACGAAGTGTTTGGTAGCGTGGGCTGTATCGCTGATCTCTGGCAGTTTGGTGCCGGGGATAGGCGAAGGGTCGTGATCACCGCTGGTGTCTTCGTCTGTGAATTGCGTAGTGCAGGTGTCAATCACGCGTTGGGTGTGGGATAGAACGGTACGAGTGTGAAGCATAGGCCTGGACTAGGTCTAACCACCCATACGGATTGGATTTTTTATTTTATCAGTAATTAAGGCTGAAACTAATAATCATTGTCCTTGCCCTGACTCAAAGTCTCGCAACCACCTCGTGAGCTTGCATGTATCGTGCAAGGTGCTTATAGATATAGCCATGTATATCTTACAAGATGCTTATGCATATGCCCATATATATCTTACAAGATGGATATACATATATACATGTATATCGAACAAGATGGTTATACATATATACATGTATATCTTACAAGATGGTTATACATATAGCCATGTATATCTTACAAGACACCTATACATATAGCCATATATGTTTACAAGATGCTTCTTCACCACAATTATACTTCTGATATGGCCCTGAGTCTATCACGTAAGTAACAACAGCCCATCACCCAATTCAAAATTTAGAAAAACACCGCCCAATTCAAAATCAGATAAAAAAACCCGGTAAATTGCATGAACACGTGACAACACATATATGCGCGCGATATAGTAACTGAATCTCCAGCAAACTGATACAATGTGAAGTTGTAGTAGACTTGTTATCATTCCATTGTCTGTGCTGTGGCTGCCCTAATACACACCACCAACACAACTCTGTGCTATTAATGGCCGAAAGTCGTCTGTTGGAGACAGTGGGACCGACTACTGACCTTACAAGCCGCTTCTTTCTCATTGTCGAAGTGTACACATAGCAAAGTTTAGTATAGGTGTACGATAAGGGTATGAGGGTTATAGCGTTTTAGAATTATCTAGACTTTGTCCTGCTTGTGCCACTAACTAGAAGAGCACATGAACCTCTCCACAGAACACGCACGCGCTAGCTCTCACAGCGTCTGCAATACTACACCACACCTCTAGCACAAAACCCCACTACTTTCAACCACCCTACTTTAAACCACACCGCTCTAACCCACACTACTTTAAACCACAATACTCTAAACCACACTACTAGCGCACACTAACAATGCGTACCGATGAATTTATGTGGCGACATCAGACTGACCGCCACTGAACGGCCCACCACATTGTCTCGCAGCCATTGGGAAGTGCCTCCCGTCACATGTGGCTCTATCCCCATCGGTACAATGGCCACCCCGTGCCGAGGACTGTCGGTCCCTGTTTATAGATGTGTGCAACGTATATGTTTATGTGAGTGCATATAATACAGGTTTGTGTAAGGTAGGGCTATCGTTCATGTCTGTAGATGTGAATCGGTCCCTGTTTATAGATGTGCGTAACGTACATGTTTTATGTAAGTGTATATACTACTGGTTTGTGTAAGGTACGGCTATCGTTCATGTATGTAGATGTGAGTCGGTCCCTGTATATATATGTGTGTAATCTATATGTTTTATGTAAGTGTATATAATACAGGTTTGTGTAAAGTAGGGCTATCGTTCATGTCTGTGGATGTGAATCGGTCCCTGTTTATAGATGTGTGTAATGTATATGTTTGTACAAAGGTATATAATACAGGTTTGTGGAAGGTAGAGCTATCCTTCATGTCTGCAGATGTGAGTCAGTCCCTGTTTATAGATGTGTGTAACGTATATGTTTAATGTAAGTGTATATAATACAGGTTTGTGTAAGGTAGAGCTATCGTTTATGTCTTTAGATGTGAATCGGTCCATGTTTATAGATGTGTGTAATGTATATGTTTGTGTAAGTGTATATAATACAGGCTTGTGCACGGTAGAGTTATCGTTCATGTCTGTAGATGTGAGTCTGTCCCTGTTTATAGATGTGTGTAACGTATGTGTTTTATGTAAGTGTATATAATACAGGTTTGTGTAAGGTAGGGCTATCGTTCATGTCTGTAGATGTGAGTCGGTCCCTGTTTATAGATGTGTGGAATGTATGTGTTTATCGTACACAGCGTTATAACTCACGAAGACACACATCACACATCCACATCCACATACACATCCATATACGCCTGCGTACAATTCAACCATGAACAGTAACTATACACTAACCCGTACCAGTGTTTATCGTGTGTGGTCGCCGTCCAATGATTCTGCGCAAGGCCCCCATCAGCCTCCACGCCCACGGGGTGTGTTCTACCCACAGCACAGGAACTGTTTGATGAGAAGCTTCGCCAGACACGGTATCGTGACTCTTGTTTGACGCGGTGGACGCAGATGCTTTATCTCCTGAAAGTGGTAACAAGCCGTGGAATACAGATGAAATATATGAGCATGAAGACTGAATCGGGCTGTGGGGCGCAGTGGTTTGTATACCTTCTATGTTAATTGGCTGAGCATTCTGATGCTATTGTATTTTCTTGCCGCGTTGAGGATCTGGCAGAAGGTGTGATACAAATGATGACAAGATTGTGGTCTGAAGCAGGTGTATATCTAAAGTCCATACTGAATAAGAGACACACATTTACAAATGGCCTGGCACCTGTGGGTTCGATTGCAAGATGCTTTTGGTGTCTGACAGTTACGAATATATATATATATATATATATATATCATATACATATACTTCATATATAAGTTTTCATGTATTTCTATAATTATATTTTCTATATATTTATTTTTCTATATACATATATTTCATATAATTATATATATATATATATATATATATATAGACATACTTGTACATCAGAGGTACAGATACATAGTTCACTATACCTTTCTCTATCACCCTAGATGGGGTAACTTGGCTGGGTATTTACACAATACGTATACTTCGAACACTAGCAATCTACCAATTATTTCCTCCAAGTGTTCTACGAAGGCTCCAGAAACCCCCGGGTGTGTGTATCTCAGTTGCGCAGATACATGGTTCACTGTACCTATAATCTTCACACTCAATAGTAGGGCAACTGACCGAGCTAGCACCCAATGTGTACACATACGCCACAACCAGTCTACTAACTTATTCTTCGGTGGGCTGCAAATGCGCCAGAAGCGACGGGTGACATTGTATTGTGACGGGTATATATGACAGTATATACATACCAAGCATATAGATACACTAACTACTCTACCACCACCTTCATCGCACCCGAAGGGATATAGGGCTAGCACATATACACAATGCATGCACTGGCGGTATCTAACATCTACCATTGAACTCCTCAGTGGTCTACACAGACACCATTGGTGCCCGGTGACATGGTGCTGGGAATATATACTACTGGGTACTAGTGTATTGCTTACTCCACACTCTCTCTACATTGATCACGTCTGTATGTTATTTTGCTTTTGCGTAGAAATAGACACACCTGCAACTCTAACCAAGAGATACTGAACTTGTGCATATACTCTATGCGTACACATACAATACCTACCCACGCTCTACCAATACCTTCAGCCGGGCTGTCTGTTGGCTTGGCTGGCACCAGGTGTTGCAGTGAGGCGCTGACCACGACACCACGAAACTTTGAATGGCGTTCGTACTCGCTTGCGGGGATGTCTTCCGCACGCGTGTACTTGATGTGGGCCCCTGAGCAGTGGACAAACACATACCGAAATCAATACAAAGTAGTCAGGACGGCCTATAATACAACAAACCAGCGGTATAGGCGATGGTATCATAAGGAGGTTCTTATGTTGTTGTTAATTAGACCGTTTTTTTATCTGCTGGCTGTGCTCTGGGGTCGCAAAGTATACGAGTTGAGTACGCTGGAGGAGTTCACTAATATTCACAGAATATTCAGCCATCCCCCACAAAAACGTTTCTCTTAGTTACTATTTAACCCTCACACATACGTTTCTCATAGTCACTCACTTCGAACGTCTGAGAAACGCGATACGCCCTAGACACACATCAACACAAGCAGTTGCATATATTAGACTGATGTCACATCACACTCCGACTTGCTGCCTGGGGGCTTCACCTCGAGCACTCGATTACGCACATCATAATCTGTACAGGAGATGAACCCGTGAGACAGTGCAGGATACCGAACTCTGCATGCACCTAACCCGCCCCAAGGACAATAGCAATCGCAGGTGATACGGCACATATACCGACAGCTTCATAGTCTTGTGGCTGTCGAGGTGTGATTGTCGTATACATATGTATGCCATGGAAATGCGCTCTACTATGGGGCAATTTGGGTCAAATTGCCGCCAGGCGCGCTGGGGATGGAGCCGGAGATAACTCTCATACACACCACGGTAATAAATAAGGACTCTGATTCGACTAGATTTGGACGGTTTGACACATACATGTAGGCATGGAACGTCTCATCGAAACCATGGGCCAAAACAGCACTCGGTAAGCACTGACACTGACACTGACAGATATTTAAGATGGTATGACACTATCCAAGGCTAGAGAAACAAACGCACACGGACTCCAATCCGTGCCGTGTAGGTTGAGAGCAAACACATACCCAAGCTGTTGAATATCAGAGCCACGCCTATGGCCATGCACGTCCAGATCGACACCCTGGCATGTGCATGCAATGAATACGACAACAGTCAGACAATGGGTGGGCCTGCGGTTGGCGATTGGGTTATAGGGTTGTGTATGGGCTACCAATGTGATAGGTAAAGTAGGGAGAATTTTAGGAGTCTTATAAGATGAGATTCACATGGATTTAGAAGTGTTTGTACTAAGTATGCACAACGTGACTGAGATCTATCGGTCAGTAGTGGTAAGAAAACGCCTAGCCATCAATCAGGATAGACCATTCGCAATCATCCGTGGCTCAACTTCATCTGGCTTCTGAGCACTACATACATTTTAGAATGAGACCCCTACCACATATACCTTTTATAATACTCGAATATACTACCTAACAAAACGAACCCCCCCAAAAAAACAAACTCTCGATCAATCCGATGAGTAACGCACACACACCTATGCACTGTTGAAGCAGCTTCTGGATTGCTATTTATATGTTTGACTACAGGAACAGATACATTGTGTCTAGAAACGAATACGTTAATTAAAGAATCGATGTGTAGAGGTCCACTCAGATGACAATACCTGACTATAGACAAATTAGAGTCCACAAACTTCGTCACTTTCCCGAGTATAGGTTCCTCCCGTGCACTGGCACCATTGCTGTCTGTATTTTGGTGCGCGCTATCTTCAGCTCTACGAAGTTCTGAAAAGGGATATAACATTGATTGCTAACGATATATAATAAATTTGTGAAAAGAATAGAATATAATTACCAAAAGAATGAAATACGATTGATAAAAGAATATAATATGATTGTGAAAGGGATAGCAAATACATATTAAAAGAATAGAATGTGATTGTGGAGACATGCAGGCGAGTGTAATGAACCGTAGACGGTATAGCTAATGCCACCTATGAAGAAATGGGACTACTGATGAGATCACTGCGTACAAGATTATATCACCATCCTACTCGGGCACTAGGCTGAGTATACCCGGCTGGGCCTAAACCCTAAAACATGAAAACTAGTTGTGTGTGAGAGACGATTGATTTCCTTCGGGACACGAGCTGAGTTGTTAGACGACGAGGCACGATGACATGGTTTGTGAAGCATTCTGATCGCTCGCATGCACATTGTGGCACCAAACAACACTCCAATATAAGAGGAGACTGCGCTATTGATCCACACTGTACATAGTATCATCGCTATAGGTCCACACTGTACATAGTATCATCGCTATAGGTCCACACTGTACATAGTATCTTCGCTATAGGTCCACACTGCACATAATATTATCGCTATTGATCCACACTGTACATAATATCATCGCTATTGATCCACATATTATCATCGCTATAGGTCCACACTGTACATAGTATCTTCGCTATAGGTCCACACTGTACATAATATCATCGCTATTGATCCACGCTGTACATAATATCATCGCTATTGATCCACACTGTACATAGTATCATCGCTATTAGTCTACACTGCACATGGTATCATCGCTATTGGTCCACACTGTCCATAGTATCATACCGTTAACATCGGTGTTCGTAGGCTCCAGCGCAGTTTCGTGCAAGTTTCCCCTCATGCTGATGCGAGAGTGCTGAAGTGTATTGATTGGCTTTCCGACTGCCTAATCTACGCCTGCCTATGATATGACATATGACATGTGGGGGCGAAAGTTAATATGAATTTCTGCATGTTGATTCAGCTTTAAGTCTCTATGATAAGGTGCGTTTCCGTCAATAGACGACCAATTTCAACACGCACTATATGCCCAGAGTTGCTAGGCAACGGAGGAAAATATACACGCTACATATGTACCTACATGGCTTCGCTAAAAAAAGTGGGTAAGTAGGCTAAAATTACAACCTCGGCCCATTAAGTCTGGTGTGAACAATCCTTTTGCGTAACAAAAAAAATAGTTCTTCAGCGATACACCAACAATGAACCGCGAATGATAGAGCCACGCGACTACGCAGATAGCAAGCAGTCCACGCCATCCGCCGGTATCGGCATATGTATCGTATACAACAACGTACGAGCATTCAGTACGACAACGTACGAGCATTCAATACGACAACGTACGAGCATTCAATACGACAACGTATGAACATTCAGTACGACAACGTAAGAGCATTCAATACGACAACGTACGAGCATTCAACACTACAATGTACGAGCATTCAATACGACAACGTAAGAGCATTCAATACGACAACGTACGAGCATTCAATACGACAACGTACGAGCATTCAATACGACAACGTACGAATATTCAATCCGACAACGTACGAGCATTCAATGCGACAACGTAAGGCTTTCAACCACTAGTCAAGACCAACGTGAACGCCCATTTAGCTCGTGCACTACCGCCGCAGTATCACAAGCGGTGGATACTCAAACACTCATAGAGTCTCATCTGCAGACTTCAACTCTCGGGTATGGACACGGATGCAACCAGCACACCCCACAACCACTACTACACCAAAGCAACACTCAGTATCGAAACAGCATACCAATCCAGGTTTGTTAGTCCTGCCCGTGGGTCAATCAGTCCTCTTTCTCTGAGCCCAGTTGAGACATTGCATAGGCAGTCTCCTGCGAGATGTCCTTCTGGAAGTGGCACCAGGCCAACCCGGCAACGACTGTGAGTGCGAAGAGCCACTGTATACCGACTTTCAGTATCTGCAGCAGAGGGTAGTAGGTAAAAGTTAGCCGGTCAGATATTAGGAAGAACTTTATGGCGCAGACCAACAGCCTGGTAAAGTTGAGTTATAGTATACTTAGAAGCAGATTAAGGAGCAGGGTAAAGGTATACAGTTGCATATAGCTCGTAGGGAACAAATAAAGTGGAGCTTTTGAGCACCTTGCTAATCTGGCAAATCCGTTCATTGTCTCAGAATACCGTGTTGAGTACCTGTGGATTTTAAATATATATGTACGTGACACACACGGGATATGGCTACGATAGACGCTATTGAATTCGGAGAATATAGACAGTAGTACGTTCGCCTGAGCATGTCAGCTGTGTAGCAGAAGTGTATATGGGTGGATAGAACGCAACACGAAGCCACATCAGCACCGCACCGAAATCGATCTCTTGAGTTTCAACGATATCTAACCCCAGCACTCCTTGTGGCTCGATACTGACAGCCTGTCTCTTTAAACCAGGACGCCACTAGTTTCCAAGGTATGCGACTGAACAACGATCAGAGAAAAAATGGGTGAAAGAATGGTCCTAACACTCGGTTACTACGCGTGACCTGGGTGGGTATTCATCACATCACACCTTCATCAACTCCAGATGACAGATAAAACAGCTTTCAGGTATATGCTGTCGTAATCGCTCTTGTCGCGCACGTAGCACTACTATATTTCTATATATATATATATATATATGTTTATATATATATATATATATATATATATATATATATATATATATATATATATATATATATATATATATATATATATATATATATA